GGTCCAAACGAGGACGCCGAAACCATACTCATAAAGTTCTGTCCGCGTTCCTGCGCTGGCGACAAGCGCGGATGCGCGCCTTGGCCAGGTGTTCTTGGCGTGTCCGCTCCACGTCAAGGCAATCGGCAATGTTTGAATGCGAATGTCATGAATGGCGGGTGTTCCCCCAAGTCGATCCTTCACTGTGCAGGGATCATAGCCGCTTCTCGGGACACGCTTGCACACTCGCTCCCACGATGCGAAGACTGCCGTGCACTATGGAGTGCGTTTGTCATGATGCCTCGTAGTTCGTAACAGCATCAAGCCGATGCCGCATAATGCAAAGGATTCCGCCCGCATTGCTTCAACGGCGTGTTGATCTTCATCCCCGTGCCATGTTGGTAATAAGTGAGCTTAGCATGGGACGTGGCTTAGCGCACGGGAGTTCCGCACCATAATGTTTCGAATATTGGCGGACCTCGCCGTCGCCATCGCCTTCTTTGGTCGTCATCCGACGCATCCGTTTCGCGGTCAGGCGAGGGAGGCGAGCAACCGTTTCATCGTCCGACGCATCCGCTTGACGATCGGGCTGTGGTGAGTCCGGCGTAACCGTTCACGCACGATGAACACCTCTCGTTGAGTGGCGCATCCTATCAACGACCGGGCCGATGGCGTGCCCATTGGGCCAAATTGACGACGGGGGGCCTCTACCGTTGCCCCTCCAGGGAGTCCCCACGCCAGACCGTGCCCCAACCCTCGGAACACGGTCTTAGTTATGAGTGATCGTGCCCATCCCGTCCCACCGCCCCCATGAGTGACGTTCTTGCTCTCCAGGGCAGACCCTGTTACTGATCAAGGATCGTGCCCTTGCCGCTCCACCAGCCGCGTGAGACCGCTCCAGCCCAGCCATCGAAAAAAACCATGGCATGGGTCGGAGATTTTCACCTCCCCACTCCGCAAGTCCTTCCAGCACCGGTGGCCCCTGCAAGGAAGAAGGGCCAGAGGAGAAATAACTGAGATGGAGACACCTCTACATACTTCCTCCCGCCACTGGTCGTTAATCGTACTCGAAAGTGCGACCCCAATGCAAACCTGGTGTGTGGAAGGTCGATCGCGCAATTGTCTTGAAGATATATGAGTGCACGCATGACTGCGAAGGAACGGGGGCTGTGCTGTGGCGGAACGCATCACAGCACAATGCAAATGTACGGTTGTAGTTGGAAGCGCGCGCGGCTGGTTCGGCCAAGCCCTGCCCACGCCAGTGCAGTTCGGTCCCACGCACAACGACAACACAGCCCAGCCCAACCGAGCACGCTCCATCATAATCCAATCCAGCATGTCAGCAGAGACCAGGGCCTCTCAAACACGAGAGCAACGAAACACAGCTGACAGCAAGAGACGACCCAGCCTGCTTGAGCACACGCACGCCCAAGCAGGTTCGGCATCCACACACACACACACACGGAAGACAAATTATACCAACCTCGGCAAGACGATCGCACCCAATAAAATCCCAAAGGCGATGCCGACATGATCACCATCAGGTGATCTCCGACTTCCATTGTTGGCTGCGTGCTCGGATGCGCGCCATGGCCAGGTCAGCGACACATCCATTCTTGGTGCTCGCGCCTCACGACAAACATTGAGAAGCGGGTGTCATTTCATGCCTGGGCATTCCTCCAACTGTATCATACACTCTGCCGCAGTCGTGGCTGGCTCACGGTCGGCCCTGCAATTTCGTTCTCATGATGCGAAGGCGTTCGTCATGGTGTTCCGAAACATTGACAGGCGGATGCCGCTTCATGAGAAGGGTTACGCCCTCATTGCTTCGACGACGCTTTGGCCTCATTCGTTTGAGCAGGGACCGACCGTCCCAGCATCCCTATAGTTCTACCACGAAGTGTTCTTAGAACCCAGAAATGTTCTAAAAACAAAAACAAGGTTCTAAGAACATAAACCCGAAGAGATAAAGCAAGGCAGACTCCACCATAAGTGTGCTAAGAACATTTCGTGCAAACCACACTAGGTTCTTAGAACATTGTTTGGTAGGGCTATAGGCGAGCCAGGACGCTTCGCCACTGCTTGATGCATCCCCGTGCTTCTCCTCCGAACAGACTGGCAAACTCTATGAATCTATACATATATATATATATATATTATATATGCACAACGTACCAAGCATTGCATTCCGTTGGCTGCTTGCACTCCGTAAACTGCATCCCGAATATTGCACCCAGAAAGAAGTGCTCTCCCAAACTACACCCCATGGAATGCACTCCGTGTATTGCGCCCAATAGAAAGCATGCAAGCGACTGCGCCCTTTGGATCAAGTGCACCCCATATATCGCGCCCCCCCCCCCCACAGACTGCTCCACAACTACGCCCCATGGATTGCGCCCATAGAGCGCACCGCCAGAAAAATATGGCGTCGCTGTTTGGGGCACTATAGTTCAAACGACGACGGCCCTGCGTGAAAAAAACTACGCAGTTTCAGGATTTGGTTGGCCTGGTACTTTCTCCATTCAGGTTTCTGGTGGCCTCGAGCTTCGTACACTGAGTGTGCTGAGCGCTCACAGCTGCTCCCGCGCCCCCGCAGCAGACGCCTCTGCCTCTGCAGCGTGAGCCCCTCGTCAGGGAAGACTTTGTGTCGTGCGCGTGGTGGGATTTAATGCCATAACTCACGCCCCTTGCTATCAGGCGCCACCGTGACGTCACTCGGCCGGCGGAGAAAAGTCTGTTGAGCGCGGTTGTGCGCGCGCATGCCAGGAAGTGTGCGCAAGCCACTTTGCACGACTCCTGCCGGGAGCGTGAGGCCGCCAGCACCGCTCACGAAATTTATATTATCTGCTGGGGCTCCTCCTTCTGTCCCCCCTCCGTGGAAGCCTCCCCACTTGAGCCACTTGCAGAAGCGCTGTTAGTTACCGCGCGGCCCGCCGTAGCCCAAACCACGCCGGGCCCCTTGCCGATGCTGCAACAAAAATGGAACGCACCATTGGAAACAATCTTACACCGTGCGTAGAGACCCTAAACAGAACCGGAGCTTCAAAGCCTACATGGCAAGATACGCACGGCACCGCACGGACAAGGCGCGGCACGGCAGTCGAGCCACAAAAATGGTGGTGCACCACCAGCGCGTACAAAAGGCACTACTCGGCACGGCACGCACGGTACATTTTGGCCTTCTGAAAACTTGGCACGGCGCAGCACGCGGGCATTCTGGAACTGCGGCACGGAAAAGCACGGCACGCGGACGCCGCAGCTTCCCCATCCCAAAACTCCGGCACGCCACAGCACGACTCGGCACGGCACGCGAGCGTCACACTCCTGGCATTCTATGACTTCGGAACGGCACGGCACGGCACGCGGGCGGCACATGTTCCGCATTCTGCAGCTTCGGCATGGCACGACACGGCACGCGGGCGGCACATGCCTCGTGTTCTCGATCTTCGGCGCGGCACGGCACGGCACGCGGGCGCAACATCTCCCGCATTCTAGAGCCTTGTTGCGAAACGGCACGGCACACGCGCGGCGCATGTTTCAAACCCCAAGACTTCGGCACGGCACGGCACGGCACGCGACCGGCAAATTTTCCGCACTCTAGAACATCAGCACGCCAAGGCACGCAACGTGGGTGGCACACTTATTCCGCATTCTGAAACTTGGGCACGACACGGTACGCCCCGCGGGCGGCACATAAGTTCTGTTCTGCACGCCTCAACACGGCACGCTGGCAGCACGTTTTGCGCATTCTAGAACTTCAGCACGGCACGGCACGCGGCCGGCACAATTCGCTCGCACTCTAGAGCAGGAAACCGGTTCTCAGAATGCAAATGTGACCCCTTATCGCACTCGCTGTTCAGGAGACCAAACACGCAAGTGTCTGGGGCGCATCTGGCCATGCTGCGCAGATTGCCTGCCTCGAGCTAGCTGCGGACACTGCCAATATTGCGCCTGCGTCACACACATCACGTGCACCAAGTGTACCACCTGCACTGCGTGTGCCGTGCCAGTACAAGTCATACACGTGGCGTGAGCTACCCAAACCGCTTTCCCAACACAGCCGCCCACGCTCCGCCACAATAGAGGGACAACAAGCTACATAAACCGACACGTTCGAAGGTCCGCGCGGACTTCATGGATCTGCGCTGACCCCCCTCCCTGGCGCGCAGAGCGCGCCAGGGGCGGCGCCGGAGGCGCTGCCAGAGGGGGCCCGGCGCCGATCTGAGAAATTCACGCAGGAATGGCTCCGAAAGGTCGAGCTTGAGGCTTGAGTCCCCCCCTCTCTGCGGGGACAGCAAGCGACCACAATCACATCAAGGACACACCCTGGGGGATGTCTCGCGCATGCCAAAAATTGTCGGCACACCGAAACCGGCTTCGTGATGGCTGTGGTCGATGAGGCATCGCAGGACGGCCAAGCTGACCACAACCACAACAAAAGTAGGGGAGCCAACAATGACATAAGCATAACAATTCGGAGGTCCGCCAGGATTTCTCGGATCGGCGCTGGGGCCACCTGGCGGCGCCTCCGGCGCCGCCCCTGGCGCGCTCCGCGCGTCAGGGACGGGGGTCCAGCGCCGATCCGAGAAATCCGCGCGGACCTCCGAGTTGTTATGCTTATGTCACTGTTCGCTCCCTGAAAAAATGCTCACGTCGAGGTCGGCGGGGTCTGCCCCGAGGGACCCTCTAGAAAATCCACTCCGTTGTGCTTGTGGTTCTTTTGATGGGCCTGTTTTCCACCACCACCACCATGAGTTGGAGGGGGGAAGGGGGCCGAGGACGATGAGGAGGAGGACGAAGAGGAGGAAGAGGAGGGGAGGGGGGGGGAGGAGGAGGAGGAGGAGGAGGGAGAGGAGAGGAGGAGGAGGAGTGGAGGAGGAGGAGAGGAGGAGGAGGAGGAGGAGGAGGAGGAGGTGGAGGAGGAGGACCCCCTCCCCCTCCAACTTGTGATTGCGGAGGTGGAAAGCAGGCCGATCCTCTTGGTTGCGCCCGGCCTCTCGGCGCGCCGCCCGAGGGCTCTCCTCGAGGGCCTGCTCGCCGCTCTGGTCCCCGCCGGGCGCGCCCGCGGCGCCGCTGCGGAAAGCGTCGCCGAGGGCCAGGTTGTGCTGCCCCTGCCGGGGGACTGTCGGAGGCCGGCCCAGGGTGGGTGGGGGGGGGGAAGCGAGAGGGCCTGGGGCGCGCAAGCAGGGATCAGCTTCGCTGCCCCGATGCGCCACACGCAACACGTAGCGTGTTGATACGGGGCTCAACGCGTGGACTGGAGACGTAGCTCTGGCGCGAGGCGTTCGCCAGAACGTGGGCCAGCACGCTGAGCCAACACGCAACGTGTTGACACGGACGTTTTGAGTACGGTACGTGTTGCTTTTCAAAACGGGCGTATCGAGGCAGCTAAGTGGATGAACGATCCATGGGTTTGGCGCGCGGTCGCCAAATCCATGGATCGGGGGAGGCGCCCTCCCGAAGATGCGGCTGGTGCCGCCTCGCTCGGCGGCGGGAATCCGCGATTTCCCATGGAAGCGGGACCCGTCGCTAATGCACGCCCCCTTGATCCATGTTTGCGATCGTCTGAGAGAGAGGGCGGGCCTTTTCAGAAGGCTCGGTAACCCCCAGGCCTTCGGAAAAGTGTCCTGAGTTTTTTCCCGGAAGCACAAAACAACAACTCTTCAGAAGGATGGATGGGCTTCTGAGAAGCCCCGCCGCCTTCTGAGAGGGCTTTCTCCTTCTCGCTTCGCCCCCTCGCTCGCCGCCGAGATTTACAGCACAGGGAGATGAACAGATCAACGACCTTTTAAAATTACCCTTCGACGTACCTAACCCTTGATATACACGTGGCGCTTATATTCAAGACCACTCAATGCTGACTGGCATTTTGAAGGACCCGCAGTGCGCAAGAAGAGCAGTCAGGAGTGAAAGCAGAAGAGAGCATCAAGAGGAGGAATTGCACACATACAAAATTGAAGCACAAGGGCGTTGAAAGAAACACAAAAGCGGGGGGCGGCGAGGGCTAAACCAGAACATCGGTTTAACTCAGCAACGCGCTGCGCTGAACGAGGCAAATGCATGAGGTGCATAACAGGGGCGGAGACTCACCAAAAAGGGGAGACAAGAGGGCGCGGCAGCGAATCAAAAGAAAAGAACCAAAAAATGGAAGCAAAAGGTCGCGGCCTCGAGGGTAAGCAGGAGCACCCAGTCACTGCGTGGGAGTTAACTCCGCTGGGTCTCCCAGCAGCCCACGAAAGTGGCGACAATTGCGCAGATCGCAAGACCCCCAGGGGGCGGCGAGGTACCGAGGTGATCAGCGTGGAACGTACCTCCGCTGGGCCTCCCAGCAGCCCATGAAAAGGGCGGCAATTGCGCAGATCGCAAGCCCATCAGGAGGCGGCGAGGTACCGAGGTGATCAGCGTGAGGCGTACCTCCGCTGGGCCTCCCAGCAGCCCACGGAAGTGGCGTCAATTGCGCAGATCGCAAGCCCCCCAAGTGGCGGCGAGGTACCGAGGTGGTCCGCGTGGGACGCACCTCCGCTGGGCCTCCCAGCAGCCCACGAACGTGGCGACAATTGCGCAGATCGCAAACCCCAAGGGGGCGGCGAGGTACCGAGGTGATCTGCGTGGGACGTACCTCCGCTGGGCCTCCCAGCAGCCCACGAAAGTGGCGACAATTGCCCAGATCGCAAGCCCCCCACCAACAAGCGGCGAGGTGCCGAGGTGATCCGCGTATGACGTACCTCCGCTGGGCCTCCCAGCAGCCCACGAACGTGGCCACAATTGCGCAGATCGCAAGCCGCCCGAGGGGCGGCGAAGTACCGAGGTGGTTCGCGTGGGACGCACCTCCGCTGGGCCCCCCCGGAGCCCACGAAAGTGGCGACAATTGCCCAGATCGCAAGCCCCTCAGGGGGCGGCGAGGTACCGAGGTGATCAGCGTGGGACGTACCTCCGCTGGGCCTCCCAGCAGCCCACGAACGTGGCGACAATTGCGCAGATCGCAATCCCCCCTGGGCGCGGCGAGGTACCGAGGTGATCCGCGTGGGACGCACCTCCGCTGGGCCCCCCAGGAGCCCACGAAAGTGGCGACAATTGCCCAGATCGCAAGCCCCCCAGGGGGCGGCGAGGTACCGAGGTGATCCGCGTGGGACGTACCTCCGCTGGGCCTTCCAGCAGCCCACGAAAGTGGCGACGGTTGCGCAGATCGCAAGCTCCCAAGGGAGCGGCGAGGTACCGAGGTGACCCGCGTGGGACGTATCCCCGATGGGCCTCCCAGCAGCCCACGAAAGCGGCGACAAATGCGAAGGTGGCAAGCCCCTCAGGGGGCGGCGAGGTACTGAGGTGATCAGCGTGGGACGTACCTCCGCTGGGCCTCCCAGGAGCCCACGAAAGTGGCCACAATTGCGCAGATCGCAAGCCCCCCAAGGGGCGGCGAGGTACCGAGGTGGTCCGCGTGGGACGCACCTCCGCTGGGCCTCCCAGCAGCCCACGAACGTGGCGACAATTGCGCAGATCGCAATCCCCCCTGGGGGCGGCGAGGTACCGAGGTGATCAGCGTGAGGCGTACCTCCGCTGGGCCTACCAGCAGCCCACGAAAAAGGCGACGGTTGCGCAGATCGCAAGACCCGCAGGGGGCGGCGAGGTACCGAGGTGATCCGCGTGGGACGTACTTCCGCTGGGCCTCCCATGAGCACACGAAAATGGCGACAATTGCGCAGATCGCAAGCTCCCAAGGGGGCGGCGAGGTGCCGAGGTGACCCGCGTGGGACGTACCTCCGCTGGGCCTCCCAGCACCTCATGAAAATGGCGACAGTTGCGCAGATCGCAAGCCCCCCAGGGGGCGGCGAGGTCCCGAGGTGGTCCGCGTGGAGCGTACCTCCGCTGGGCATCCCAGGAGCTCACGAACGTGGCGACAGTTGCGCAGGTCTCGAGCCCCCCGAGGGGCGGCGAGGTCCCGAGTTGGTCCGCGTGGGACGTACCTCCGCTGGGCCCCCCAGGAGCCCACGAAAGGGGCGACAATTGCGCAGATTGCCAGCCCCCCAGGGGGTGGCGAGGTCCCGAGGTGGTCCGCGTATGACGTACCTCCGCTGGGCCTCCCAGGAGCCCACGAAAGTGGCCACAATTGCGCAGATCGCAAGCCCCCCAGGGGGCGGCGAGGTCCCAAGGTGGTCCGCGTATGACGTACTTCCGCTGGGCCTCCCTGGCCTCCCAGCAGCCCACGAACGTGGCCACAATTGCGCAGATCGCAAGCCCCTCAGGGGGCGGCGAAGTACCGAGGTGGTCCGCGTATGGCGTACCTCCGCTGGGCCTCCCAGGAGCCGACGAAAATGGCGACAATTGCGCAGATCGCAAGCCCCCCAGGGGGCGGCGAGGTGCCGAGGTGATCTGCGTATGACGTGCATCCGCTGAGCTTCCCAGGAGCCCACGAAAGTGGCGACAGTTGCGCAGATCGCAGCCCGACGGCACGAGAGAAGAGGAGAGGGGAACACAGGAAACAGGAGAGAAGGAGGAGGGGAGGAGAGGGGAGGAGGAGGAAGGACGACGGGGCGAGCACACTGCTCTATTCAAAACGAGAACCCAACACAGGAGGGTTGGCAACAAGAAAGCTAAAATCCCGGGTTGTCGCATAGACTTTGCAGGGTCGCGCCGCGACAGGGAATAAAACCAGGATTCCAAAACAAAAACAAGGTTGGCGCCACGACGCGCGATAAAACGTAAGAAAACGAGGCGTTTGCTCGAGAACTTAAAATCCCGGTAGAAGACTTGACACCACGAGGCAGAGGCCGCGGGCTACAGTAGACACATACGAAAGGTATGCATATATGTAAAGATGTGACACCCCGCAATTACGCATGAGAGTGAGAGGGCGGGCGCGGGGTGGGTCGCGGGTGGGTCGCCAGCGGGTCACGGGCGGGTCGCGGGGTGGGTCGCGGGTGCGTCGCGAATGGGCGAACTGGTCGCGGGTGGGTCGCGAGTGGGTCGCGGGCGGGTCGCGGGCGGGTCGCGTGAGAAATCTCGGGCGGGTCGAAAGCGGGTCGCCCGCTGGGTCGCGGGGTGGGTCGCGGGTGGGTCGCGGGTGGGTCGGGGGGTGGGTCGCGGGTGGGCTGCGGGTGGGTCACGGGACGGGTCGCGGGCGGGACGACGACAACAACGATAACAACAAACAGCAACAGCAACAGGAACAGCAACAGCAACAACAACACGAATCAATTTAAGACTGTTCGCTCTTATCTGCTCGAGTGCCATTCAATGTGCATGTCCATAACTCTCGATACTCGGCCTCTTCATCTTAGATCGTGCCCCTTTTGGGGGGTATATCTTTCTTCCCTGCAGGCCGGGCCCCGGCAAGCGGCGGGGCGGCCGCGGACCGTCGGCCTGGCCAGCGACAGCGTTGATCGACGGACAGGGGACCGACCACGACGACGACGACGGCGACGGCGACGACGACGACGACGACAACGACGACGAACGAGAGCGAGAGCGAGAGCGAGAGCGACAGCAGGGCCACGAAGGGCAGAAAGTGTGCCACGAATGGCGACAGCGGTGCCACGAAAGGCATGCGTACAAGGGCCACGAAGGGCGCGAACGACCGGGGGGCACGAAAGGCAAATAATGAGGGGCCACAAAAGGCAACGACGGGGCACTGAGGGTAGCAACGGGGCCACGTAGAACAGCGAGGAGGCCACAAAGGGCGACAGCGGGGCCACGAAGGGCATGCAGATGGGGCCACGACGGGCGCGAACGAGCGGGGGCCACGAAGGGCATACGTATAATGGGCCGCCGAAGGCAAGGACGGGGCCACTGAGGGCAGCAACGGGGCTACGAAGGGCAGCGAGGGGGCCACGAAGGGCGACAGCGGGGCCAAAAAGCGCATGCATATGGGGCCACGACGGGCGCGAACGACCGGGGGCCACGAAGGGCATACGTACATGGGGTCACGAAGGGCACCGAGGGGGCCACGACGGGCTGCAACGGGGCCACGAAGGGCAGCGAGGGGGCCAAGGGCTGCAAAGAAGCAACGAAGGCCAGCGAGGGGGCCACGAAGGGCTGCAACGGCGCCACGAAGGGCAGCGAAGGGGCCACGAAGGGCTGCAAAGAAGCCACGAAAGGCAGCGAAGGGGCCACGAAG